TTAAAAAGAAAAATGTTTTTCTCCCAAACTGAAGGAAGGGGAAAATTAAGTGAGATCATGTAGTTTGTTGGATAACGCCTTGGTAGCTGAGCACTTGTGGAGCCATCTATGTGTACATACATTTCACAAAATACTACTACAGTGAACACCACATTTTCCAAGCAGGACTGGGTTAACTGTCAGTTTTCATAAATCTAATATTAAAGGTTTTGCATTTAGCTCAACCTGTATGAGTCAAGCTAAGTCAACTCAAGTGCAATTAATTTGTGAAATATGTTTCCTCATCTGATTGAAGTATTTTAGTTGTGAATTTTTATCATATCTTTCAACAAAATCAAAAATATATTGCTTACCTCTTCAGAATGTTGTGGTGAGGCTGCCATGGTTTTGAGGCAAGTAACAATCTGAGCTTTAGTGGATGCTGGATTTTGGACCTGTAGTTTAGCATCAAGAAGAGACAAGAGGAAAGGTATGACATTAGCACGCAGTCCCTGTTCTACAAGGGCTGTTCCTGATAACCCACTTCCTGAGAAAAGATTGTGTAAGGCTTCACATGCCACACCCACAATGTCAGGACGTAACTTCATGGCCGACACCAGTCCCGCCACAACTTCAGTGCCCTCGAGAATATTACCACACACCTGAGAGAGCAGAAAAGAGGGGCACAATTACTGTAGGTGCGTAGATACAAATATCAAGCAAATAAGTACAAGGAAATTTCTGTATTCATGCTTTCTTACATATATTTCAGCTGAGAGTACCAGATACACAATTTCATTTTGTAATAAATGCAACCTTGGGATAGTGAAAGAGAATATCAAAGTTGCTGAAATGCAATTTAGTAAAAGCTGGCCTAGCTATCTTTTATCTCTATATAAAGAAAAACAAGTTATAATTCAATATTGCAATATTTTATATGAAAATTTTTGAATAACAATGAATGCATACCTGATTATTTGTAAACTGATGTGTAGCAAGAGTAGCAGCTCTAGCCACTGTCAGATTTTTAGAGGAAAGATGAGACACAAGCCTGGGAATGTGACCCAACTGTGGCAGGTACTCCAATAGATTACGCTGAGCAGTTAATACTGAAACCACTGTGTTCACAACTAGTTCAAGGGTCTCAGCCTAGAAAACAACAACAACAAGAGATAAGTAAGAATAGGTGAGAATAAAGAATACCCCACTCCATGGGTTTAATTCTTGTTGATGGATCTGCCTTTTTCAAACACAGAAATACTGAAGGAATGTTTTACAGATACCTTACTCAACTCAACTATTTATATTGGTGCTGCTGATTTAATAAATAGATTATGAAGTAAACAGCTATGAAATATAATAGCAAAATACATGTTATGCAGGAAAAGTACTTACATCATTGCCTCCCTTTGCAAGAAGATCCAAGAGTGTATCAAAGAGATCTGATGTAAACTGCTTTGGCTTCCGCAAAACCCAGGAAGGATTTGCAACCAAGAGCCGCAAGTATACACCACCCACCACCACCTCTCCTGAGGTTGAGGATAATGTGACTTCCTCTGGAAACTTCCATACAGCATTTGGATCCTCCTTTTGTTGCAAGTGAATCCTTTTGATGGAAGAAAGAAAGAAAAAAAAATATATATATATATATAAATCCCATTGAAATATTTCTTATCAGTTTGTCATTCTACAATAAAAAAATGCTGAAAAAAATCTGCTAATTCTGAAAAGCTATTATGCAATGAATATATATATATATATATATATATATATATATATATATATATATATATATATATATAATATATATATTTTTTACCTTTTTATTTTTTTTTTTTATTTTTATTTTTTGGCAGAGGGGGGTTAAGTTCATGACTAGTTCTCCCTGGTAAATATGTAAAATCAGAACATTTCATGATATATATTTTTTTATTTGACATTAAACCACTCAATTTTTGTGACTGTCATATTAAGCCATTGGATCTGGCTGCTTCTTGGCTTACACTTTTTCATGACACCCAGTTTAAATAGGTTAAGTAATATATAATCATCTGTTTTATGATGCTTTTCTGCCTTTCCCTACTGGCTATTCCTACAGCAGTCATCCTTAACAGCACTTACTCTTCCACTAATCTTGAAACAGTCTCCGTTACCCTGACCCTCGAGTCGTCAGTCCAGATTAGCTCTGGGTTTTCATGCTGCGCTTCGTACATGTGGACCGCGGTGGATGGCGAGTCCCTCATCTGGTCTACCAGAGCAGAGGGAAGGATCTTGTTCAGAATCAGTCTCACACGAGGCCCCACCAGCTTATCACATGTCATCTTGCCCATGAGTTCTGCTGTCTTTTCGCGCACTTCTGAATCGTCCGAGGAGCAGAATATGTTCAGGAGGTACATGACAGCTCCTGGAAGGAAATGGCTATATTAATATTTAATTCAATGTCTATGAAACACTGTTGTATGGGGGGGTGGGGGTATAGACATATGGATATCAATTATCCAGAACATAAAGCATATACCAATCCTAATTAACCACTTGCCGCCAGGTGGCATGTATGTACATGCCATGGCTGTTGTGGCCAGAAAATTGGATGGCATTGTATGACCATTCCCACGCCATTGGCTCTTTGGATGCGGTTTGTTTTTCACCAATAGTAGTGTCTTCATATATATGGTAAAGCTTTTAGGCAATGGCACCTAAAGTGAAGGTAAACCTGCAAATTTATATAATTATAAATTATAGCAAAATAAAAACTTTTAGGTGCTAAATGTCACTCACAAATTACCAAATGAGCCTGGCGCAAACAGGGGAAATTGCTGATGTGCGCCAACAATCCTGTTATCATGTCCACTTGCCAATTTTTTTTATCCGGCGGCATAGGGTTAACCCCTAGCCGACAGGTGGCATGTACGTACATGCTATGGCTGTTGTGGACCGAAAGACGGGTGGCATCATGTCATGCCCATTCCCGCGCCACTGGCTCATTGGACGGGGCTTGTTTTTCTTCAATAGTAGCGGCTTCATTTATATGGTAAAGATTTTAGGCAATGGCACCTATAATAAAGGTAAACCTTCAAAATTTTAAAATCTTTATAAATTATAGCAAAATAAAAACTTTTAGGTGTTAAATGTCGCTCACAAACTACCGATCGAGCCAGGTGCAAAAAGGGGAAACTGCCGATGCGCGCCAACAAGCCCGTCCATACGTTCACTTGTCAAACATTTTTACCCGTCGGCACTGGGTTAATTTAACATCATTGCTAGGACAATAGGAATTAACAATTCAACTAAAGAAAATAGTAGTAATAACAATATATAAAATTGCCTGTAAAATGAAAAAAAGGAAATGACAAAAAGAGAGAAAAAAATAGAAATAAATAAAGGAAAAGGGAAAAGGTACAAAGGAAAAGTGAACATGAAAGAAAAAAAGAAAAGAAAATTAAGAGGCTGACATTCACATCATAATCTCTCCACAAATCAAACTACTACTTACCTTTGTTTAATGCTTCCTTCACAATCTTGGTGTTAGACATGAGTGCATGCAGTATGTTGAGAGCTGTCATGCGGTCTGGGATGAGGGAAGGTGAGTGTAAGGCCAACATCAGGTACACCAATACCTGCAATATGAGAAAAAGTTATTGGCGTTTATTCAAAACCTGATAATTACTAGTTTATCAAATTTCTAAAACACGACGAGTCTAAAGTAGTACTTCTCAACCTGAGCATCACATACTATTTTGCATAAGCATATTTCTTGTCTTTGAAAATACTCCTTTTTAGCCTGAAACCCTTGTAACAATATTGAAAATAAATCATGTTCACCTAATCTTCAAGTTCCCAGTTCAATTCAGCTTATAAGCAATTTGCAGTAGTCTGTAAATTTTCAAAATGCATTTGTATTTGTACATTAATGGAGCTGAGTGTTGGTGTGTCACAGAAGTGTTGGATATTTATCCAGTGTTACTAAACTACAAAGGTTGATAACCACTGGTCAAAAGGAATAAATATTCTCAAATGTCAAAGATGAGTATTTTTTATAACCTGCTTCCAAATAAACCAGCATTTTTCTTAATTTTTCATTATGCTTTATTTTACAACTATGCTAATTAGTAATTTCAAAATCATTAGCATTCATTGCAAAATATGAAGTAATCTATGTTTTACAGATACTGTAAAAAAGGTTACAGCTTGAAAATCAATAATTTCAAGAAAAGAAATCACATGTCCAGGAGCCTCATGTGGTCTTCTGGGCTCTCAGATCTCCAACTGCATAGTCTAGGAATAATGTAAAACTCCATGACAGTTTAATGCATTGCACTCTATTCCAACAAAGAAATTGTAATATTCTATTTGACTTGCCATATACTATAGTTAATGTTATGTGATAAAATCCTATGATCAGGGTGACATGACCATCAAGTCATGAAAAAAACTGGCTTCAAGGGCAGATGACATGAACATGGGAAAATCTGGCAAAGAGCCAGGGTGATAGGGTCTTGCCATCATGAGAATTCCCCCTAAAGGCCAGGGTAATGGGAATGACTTGCAACGAATGCCGTAGTGATTAGACTCAGTGGGCATTTAGGAAGGGGCTTCTGCATTATTTTCACCAATAAATGAGTGTGAAATGTACCATTTGTGAGCCAAGTCTACAGAGGATGCAATATCCATGCTCAGGATCCTATTCCAGAGATATGATATGGAGTCTTTGCATGGAAAACAGTATTACCATCTAGATAAAGGAAATCATATTACAAATACAAACATTGAAAAATGGGGGGAAAAAAACACTTTAACAGAAAACAAGAAAATAACATTGCAAAGTGAGAGACAGAGCTACGCACTTGTTAGAATACCCACTCAAGTATGCCTAATGCCCATATTTTGGACTATGTACAGACAGTGAAGCATCTAAATCCAAGGGATCAATAAAAATTTTCCATATTTTCCTCCATTATAATTTTCTAAAAATGTGAACAAAAAAAAGCAACCATACTTGAATATGCACAATAACTTACCTCTGATGCTGCAATATCACTAACGCAATCAGCATTGCCAGTGACACCCTCCACTACAGCCAACACACACTGCTGTACAGATACACATCCTTCAAGGCGTAACAAGGAAAACAGTAGCTTGAAGTGACCAATGCACTGCATCTCCACACCTAAAGGTATAAATGAAGTGTTATTTTTCTTCTCTCTGTTTTAAGATCATATAAAATTAATACTTTAGATGGTTTTAGATATATTTCCTTTGTATTAGAAAACAGCTATATATAAATTCAAAACACATTTTTGAGCTATATTGCAAGCAGAAGATTACATTTTCAATTCTAAATACAGACTTTAGAATTCAACTAGGTAAATATATTAGTATTATAAAAAACAACAACATATAAATATGTAACAGTAATGACAAAGCAATACTGTAGATACCAGCAATAAAATTATTACAATTCTGACATACTAATCAGTTACACTCTAAAAATACAAAACATTAATAGTAGAAACAAGACTAATAGTAAATGATTAAAAGCCATCACAATGATTAGTGTTCTTACACCCAATATGACACCAAGTATCAATATGTGTTTCTGACTGGCTCTTCATACAAATTTATTGATAATATGGTTTAATCTTGTTTCAAATAAAAGTGAAATAATTCTTAAAAATCATATCTTGTGAGGTCTGGTGTGAAGATTATAGTGATCCAATATGACAGCCTAATCAGATAAAGTGATATACTGGTGTACAGTACAGAATGAAATCACTCATCCTCCCACAGGGGGAGAGGAGTGGATCCCTATCTCCCTGTTTACTTTCCCTACTGCCTTTACGGTGGGCCTTTAGGGTGTATTTCCTCAGGTTTTGCTGGGAGTGGGGGCTAGATGATCTCTTTCTCTCTCTCTTGCCTATTCTTCCCACATTTTTTTCTCTTCTCTTCTTCCCTTCTCTTGACTTCCTTTCTTTCATGTTTATGCTTTTCTGCCTTTGTGTATTTTGTTTTGGGCTTGATCTCCCTGTGTTTCCCCTTGGTGATCTTTTCCTCCTGGGGGAAGAGTTTTTTTCTTGTTACCCCTTTCTCCATGCTCCCTTGCCTGTTCCCCTCTGGCCTTGCAGCCTTGCAGGCAGTGTCAGCCTCCCTCTATAGATAATGCTCTCTGGGCATGTGGTTTGTAGTATGCTCCAGCAGTTGGTGAGCAGGCCCTTGACTGCTGTCATTTACTTGGTGCCTATTTGTGCTAAGGTCATACATATGACTGAAGGCCCATGACTGCTCTGTGCCAATGCAGCCTCTGGCCTCTGGCTGTTCCATGCCAATACAGCATTCTAAGAGAAAGATCCCACATACACTCTGTGAACATGCAACCCTCTCAGAGATGGCAAGTTATGAAAAGTTCTGACATATGGTAGAAAAGGCCCTCATCCACTCTGCTGATGCAGCCCTTTACATGCTGGATTGTTCATGATATGACCCTATATGTGCTAGGGGCATGAGGGATGATGTGAGGTTCTCTCATTTTTTTTTTTTTTTCATTCCCTACTTCTAAGATGCACTGTGAAATAGCCCTGGTTGCACAAAATCATATCTGTATATCTATATAGGCTATCATACCAGTGTGCTATAACATTTGCACCAGACCTGTCAAGAAGGAAAACAGCATCTACTATCTATCAATTACCTGAAAAAGATTTTTTTAAAATTTATATCATCAAACTTCAGAAGCATAAATTTAAAGAAATATATGTTATATCTTATGAAAACTTTCATATCAACACTTGTGTGTCAAAAGTCAGTAATTCACATGAGCTAAAATTTGTTAGGTATTTAAACATAAAAACTCAAATTAGCAAAAGCTCTTAAAAATAATACTTTTTATCATTTTTTAAAATATAATATTTGCCTTCTAACTAAAAGTTGATCAATTACTACAAAGTCAGAATACAAGGGTGCTATGATACTATCAGTCTATAATGTTAACAAAAACATACAAATGTTAATTTTACGATTGTCCTATGATATATGTTAGTCACAATTTTTTGTGAAATACAACTCATTTTCAGCTACTTGAACTGGTAATTTTTCATCTTGTTTTATCTTTATGTGTCAATATCTTGCATAATTTCCTTTTCTCATATAAAGAAAGCATTAACCCACTAATGACGGGTGTCCCACATACTAAGACACCCGAAAAAATAAAAATTGCCAGGCCAGTGTGATGCTGTATCAGGGCTCACGCTCCAACGCAGCAACGGGCGGGCAGAGTCCGGGGTAGCCCCGTCCACCAATTTTGTAGTCACACGGAATCTTTTATTTTGGGCTTCAAAATATACCGGCGTTAATGGGTTAACTTATCCTTTTGAAGTCTATAAATTTTTAAGCATTTCTTGGCTATACTCTATCTGAGACTTAATGTTAGTAACAAATATACAACTATCCCTTCATTTGCCAAACTGTCCTCGGAGACAAAATTGCTCTTCAGATATCTTTGGCTTTTAGTCCATGTTTTTTTTTTGT